AAAAAAAAAAAACAGGTTGACAGATGACCAGTATCATGGGTATCATCTAAATATTGCTACCTCATTTCTTCTTGTTGAGAATGCTTACATGCCCAGCCAAAGACTGTTGTTGTTATTCATTGGGCTTACATAATGATATATTTTTGGAATTTGGAAGATAAAATAAAAGATCTCAACGTGAAGAATTTTTAAAGTGACCCCTCCAAGTACACAACCCTGTGACTATCCAATAGGGCTTAATTCTACTGATTAGCCATAGACCAGCAGGGAAGAAAATTTTTAGAGCTTCTCTTTATAAGGCTTAGCTGTATCTATAAATTAAACCTCAGTGTGTTTTTCTCCTAAAAAAAATATTAATTATCCACTGTATTTTCCTTACCATTTATATATTTCGTACCACTGTTATCTTGCAAGTGAAGAAAAAAAATCTATAAAGATCTGCTCTACTTGAAAATTATATTCTTTCCCCCTCAATACCTTGAGCAGCGGCAACATGTAAAGCTGTCCTTCCATCGTAGTTTTGCATAGTCATGTCTGTGCCTGACAGATAATATCTAAAACCATTGACAGAGGTAAATTTGAGTTCAATCTAGCTAATGTGCATGTACACATGTATAAGTATAATTAAAATGGTCTCCAAAATGGTACTACCAAGTGCTACTTGTAAAATCAAGCATCTCTTTTCGATTGAATTTTTTTTGTCATGTTCTAGTGAATGAATACATGAAACAATGTTTCTCTCTATATACAGTCATTCTCTATAGGCCTATTTTGATGTTTAAAATTCAGCATTTAACAAAATATCTCCACAAAGTAAAGTTACAAAGATTTTTGCCTTGTACCATCAAATGATGGCTATTTTTGATGTTGAAGTTTAAAATATCAGAATCCAGTCAAAAAATAGAATGATTTGACAAATTCATAATATGTGGCATGCTACAAAGTCATGTAATTTTAATCAATAGGACTGTCATAGTTAACTGAGTGTAATGGCTCGCAAGTAAATGGAGCATAATAAGTATGGATTAACAAAAAGGAGTAAGGAGTTCAAAAAAAATATAAAACTAGATATACCTATCGATAGAGTGCCAACGAGTGATCAATTTGTGGTTTGATAAGGGGGTTTATGCTGAGGCATAGTTTTTTCCAATTGATAAAAGGGTTTTTAGTAAGAGTAACATGGAAACTGTACTAAGGTTTTAAGGGCTTGGTAATATTAACCAAGTCATTTAATAACTTGAACATGTGAAAGGATGTGAATAGTTCTTGTTATTAATGTAACATTATAAAGAATAACATAACAAAGAATATGAATCGTGTTGTATTGTATAACTGTTGCTTTGAAAGAGCATAAAAAAACAACACTGAATTTTTCATTTACAATGTAACACGTCTTTTCATTGGCTTGAATAGTTCCTTCCTTGCAATTGGCTTAAACTGAGACATTCTTACATCTTACACCTTACACCTTACACTTACACTTTTCAATGCCGATCGAGAATTTTTTCGCATACACCATTCTTCGCGCGGCACTATTCTCTGCCGCCTCGCCAGCCGAGCGTCTTCGCTCGGCTGGCTCGTTGGCAATAAGTAAGAATGATAAAGTGTATGTTGTAAGTATAGTACCTAGTCTAGTACCCAATTGCAATGACCATGATATTGGTAAATGTGAATTCATGTAATATGTTGATATTGTATATCATCTTAAAAGGATCATCATTATCATTACTAAATATAAAACTCTAAGCTATCAACATCACCTCCTTAAGGCTGTTACATCTCCATAACTTGCAGCATAAAGAAGAGAAACAACTTTTTCTCCCTGATGATAAAAATTCAACATTCAGTTATTTTCTTTGTACATGAAATTCTACTTAAAAAATGTAAACAGTGATTCCATCAGAAAGTAAAATTATTGTTAGAATTAAATTTCAATCAAATAACCTGACCTAAATAAATACTGTTTAAAATATTAATAAAACTTCCTGGTCCTTTAGAATTTGGCACTTACACAAACATGATAGTAGTACATAATATTTTATCAAAGTTTGCTTTTCTTTTTAAAATTCAGTTTCTCCTTGCCTTTGCAAACTATAGTTTTATCAGAAGACCTAAGTTCAAATTATGAATCATAACTTGATCAAACTGTACCTGTACTTCAGCCTTTCTTCTGCGAGGGTCCAGTTTTCTACCTGACGAAGCACCCTTTAAGTCATAGTTATGAAAATCGAACAAGCTGACAAGTTCCTGCAAAATATATGGTCGTCAGAGCCTCTAAAGAATCTTTCCCATCAAACTTACTGGAACAGATTGTCAGAGTATTATTCTCGATCAAGACATTCATTTCCATTCAATACTCTGTAGATTTATCCTCTTGTCACTCTTAAACATGCAGTTCAATACAATTGTCATCATTGTTCTTAATTGTTATCTTTGACCTAACATCAGTTATCCTCAACAACACAGTTAATCTGTTAATATCGTAATTGCCATCACCATCATCGTCTTTATGTAATTATCATCAGCATCATCTTCACCATCATTGTACTCAACACAATTCTCCTTAACATTGGTGATTAGAGATGAATGCAGAATTTCACACAAAGAGGGCCAAAGGAATTGTGGCAAGAGCACAAGTCTGCCCCCTTTTTTGAAATGTAAGGATAGTGGCAGGCTCTCTCTTTCCTCGCCCCCATGACACAAAATTCCACCCAGATCACCAGAATCACCTTCATGAAAGCTCTGCACATGGAACTTTTAATTGTTACGTTAACTTTGCTTCATTATTATCATTACCTTACAAAACTGCATTCCTCTGACACTGTTACCTAGATCATCCAGTGGTGGTGACCAGACCATCATACCACAAACTTTAGGCACAACTATCAAGACTGCACCACTTACACCTGACTTGGCTGGCAAGCCTACCTGAAGAAAAAAAAAAAAAGCAATTGAGAAAATTCAAGAAAATGCTACAAGTCAGATTAGAAGCCAATTAAGGATCTTGTTAGTAAATTTTTTGGATCAGCTGATCAATACAATGTAGCTTTGAAAATCTCAGTGTCTCCACACTGAAATCAGAATGCCATGGAAATATTTCTGAAAATTAAAGTTGTGCTACGGAAATAAGCTACCTGCAGGCAGAAGATAACAAAACTGTAGGCAGTAACTGAAAATAGTTTGTGGTTTTGTGGCTTAAATTGACTTCCATGTTGTCTTAATTCCTAGTGAAAAAAGTCATATTGCAATGTTTTTGAAAATAAAATATTTCAGGTGTTCAAAGTTTTCTGAATTTGATTGCTAATAAACTAATAAAATCTCCTCTGTGCATTGACTATTCTCCTTACATGAAAGGCAAATTGTCCAGAGTAATCATACAGTCCACAAGAAAGCATGAGAGACAGTGTATGTTGTACAGTCTGTGAGCTGAATACCTGTAAGAATAAAAACATGTTTTCAACCACTGACAAAGCCACTTTGCTGTATACACTAAAACAAAACATCAGCCACTCCTCTTGATTTTTTATCGAAGTGGCAGAAGTAATTTGGCAATAAGTTTTCAATTTTTTGCTGATAAGACAGTCACCAAGAGCCAGGAGAAAGTGCTAATGTCCCTTGGCACAAATTTCTTGGATGAAAAAAGTTATCAATTGAAATGAATTATAAATAATAGCCTAATTAATGAAAAACTTATAATCAATATACAAAGTTCTCATATTTTAAAAATTAACACATAATGATTACTTTTTCACCAGTCAAAGGACAAATTCCTCCATTTGCCAGGGTTGCTGCCATAACACTACCAGCATCACAGTTTGTTTCCGTGGAGCAAGTCTATGAAAAAATTTTGCTGCCATTTGAATTAATCACAGTTGAAATTCTGGGGAAATTAAGATATCCAGTGTATGTAGAAAACAACACTGAGTCTGTAAAGTAAATGATACTTACATGAAAGTAGAGTTCAAAAGTATCCATCAGATTTGTGTTAGGTGGAAAAGCCTTCAACAAAAATGAAGAAAATCAAACTGATATCATTTGGTACAGTTATTATCTAGTGACTCTTCTCCATCTTTATAGCATTTGGGATTTGTTATTTATTTCATATTAATTCCTGGTCTTGCTGGTTTTTAAAGTAGAGATCCATGAAAATGGGATAAAGTAACAAGCAGCACAATTTTGCGAGTGTGATCATGCTTATACTCACAATTCAATGCAACACTAATATTCATTAACCCTTAACACCCAATCATCAGTATTTATATTCTCCATACTGTTCCCTGTACATTTACTAAGGCGCTGACAAGGAGAATTTGTCAAACAATCAAGTTTCTTTAGTTGTTGATCATTTCTTTTATTCTCTTGACCTTAATGTGTGATTCAGTGGTGATATTGTAAGGAGAAATTAGATGCTAGTCACTCTTGGTTGGTTCTCCAGCTTGTACTATTCATAAGCTCTAATTTAAATTTATAATTGCAATATATATATATGAATATCATAATTTATTAAAATTAGTTAATAATTAATTATCAATAATTAAAATTTGTTTAAACAGATTAGGTTAATGTTTAGTGTTATGATAAAGTTCAGTTTTGTTGTATCAGACAATTTTCAATTTCTCTAAGGTGTGTCCAAATTTCTGCCCGGCTGCTGCTCTACAAAGAACTTTACTTAGTTTGTATTCTAACTTTTTACTGAGCTTGCTGTGTACTTCCATGCATCATGTATGTTCCACCAACCTTGTGAGCATTCATGTAGTATCCCAGAGCATAGTTTTTGTCAGCAGTTTCACGCTCAGATAAAAAGCTAAAAATATTTAAAATCAATTTATTCACCAAAATCAGTAGTAATGAATTGATAATCATATGAAATACAGCAGATCACAAGAAGTTTACTCAGGTTCAAGCAATGACAGTCATGTGATGTATTGATATTGGTGAGGGAAGTCTCTCAATGTCTATAATAATTATTGATAATAACCTCATGTTAATGTTATCTGCCTCAGTTTTGATAGTTCATGATATCATGCTCAGCCTCATCCAACAATTCCTCATCATAGTGATTATTATAGTAATAACAATTATAATTTTATAATATAGCTTTTCATCACTTCACCCTATAAACCTGTCTCTTTTCACTATTTATTTTCATATTTTTGAGAAGACTGGGAAATTTTGTTTTGACTGCAATAAGCCATTTTTGATATATTTAAATTCAAACTTTTCTCAGAGGCTTGGGGGAATAATAAAAACAAAAGAAATCATATTGAGGATGAATAATTAATCTCTGTTGTTTTATTCACCCATTAGCATCAGAGCCAAGTTTGAATTTTAATATATCAAAAATGGCCTATTGAAACATAATGATATTATTAATAGAGGAATCAATGATAAGTAGTCAGAATGACTAATTATAAAACCATAACAATTTTATCATGGCTGAACAAAGAAACATAACTTACGTAGCATTACTAAATCCAATGTATTCCCCACCAGCTATATGTTTAAATTTTTCCTGAACCTTTAAATATAAAAAAAAACACATTGTTACAAAATGATGCCTTGTCCTTAGCTTATTCATCTGAAAGTAGGCAACACTAGCTATATCTGAGTTAGAGACATAGAAAAAGTCTGAACACTTAAACAAATGGCCCATGTCAGCTGATATCTGAGTTCTGACTAGTTACTTTAACAGTGAATACTCTCACGGATAGATGATCCAGATATGATGCCCACGAGCACTCCACCACAACTAGAACCCAGTAAGGACTTACTCATGGGCCTGAGATGTTCTATATGGTTTCAAACATGCTATCCCTTAAATTCTCTCTGCAGGTGGACTTGACATTTACATTATTATAAAAAACTTAAGTTATTTCAATCGATTAATAGAATCAAGGATAATGTGAATGATACTTACATATTCACATCTGTCTGCCAATGGCCATTCAGGCTGAAAAATCACCACAAAAAAAAAAGTCATAGCAGACACCTTATTTAGAGCCTGAAATTTTTTTGTAAAAGGCACATATCTATGCTTACAAATTATTTATAATTATAACACCTTGTAATTTCAGCCATCAATTCTTACTTTAATTATAACATTACCTTTTGAAGTGCACACAGAACAAGAGCACCAGAATTCAACATTGGATTATGGGGTCGGTCTACAAAATGCACAAACAAATTGTGGAGTAAACAAAGAGAAAAACATGGCATTGCCTATTTCAAACATTTATGAATAAATATTTACTAGTAATACAATCATGATAATAGATCTAATTAGTAATTCTCCATACTATCTGTCATACAATTCTTATGATGTTAGTTCAGAGAATTTGGTATTGGATCAACTAATCATCCCATGATTGACATTCTTCTCTATTCTCATCACTTGCCTGCTTGATATTGTATTCATATTGTAAGGAGAAATTCTGTCTTGGTCACTTGTGGGAGTGAAAGGGTTAAGCATGCATTTTCTACTTAAGAATTTTGCAGAGATCCAATTCAGAGACTTAATTCAAATGTCACCCAGTCTCAGTTTAAATACTAACCTTGGCTATTCAGGTGTAAATAGTTAAATGTTTGACCACTGGGTTCTCGTCCTACATATCTGTGCACCTGGTTCAAAAAAATTAATTATCAAATGTACAGTTAGAAGCTTATTTAAATGTGAAGAAGGTTTACTTTAAATTCATTAGTTCTAAATCAGTTTTAGGAGCAACTTTGTGGCAGACGTGGTGACTGGATGGAAGAGAGGTCCAGATTTACCCTTTGGTGTGGTCACTGTCTGGTGTGGTCACTGTCTGGTGTGATCACTGTCTGGTGTGGTCACTGTCTGGTGTGTTCTGAAGTAAGTCATTTTACTCCCTCAGCACCTACCTCTAATCAGGCCCCAGTCCTTTGAAGGATGGAAAATGAAAAGGGGTGGGCCTAGCTAGGTGTACAAATAGATATTACCCAGAAAGAAACTGACAAATGCTCTTTCCTGAGGGGTGGGGGGAGGGGGGGGAGGGAGGAATCTGCAATGCCTCAGAATCTCATTCAGAAGACATAGATACACTCACACAATAGTCACTTCATGCTACAGAGGTTGGGTGTGGATATTAAATCCAGCCTATGACAATTACACCATCAAGGCCACTGAGTGCTTACCCTTCATAACACTAAGAGCCTCTACTACATTTGGACTACTCTCACTATATGCTACATGTATATTTATGTATCTATAAACTGTAGATCTCACTTTAATACTGAACAAGTACAAATCTACCAAGAAATCAAATGTGACCACACAGGGCGTGAAATTGCGCCTAACACAGGCGCCAATGCGCCTAAATTTTTCACTTTGGCGACCAAATCCTGAAAGTTAGTCGCCAAATTGGCGACTAGAACGTTTCATCAGACCTTACCAAGAGATATAGTGAATTAAAAAGATTTGGAAAGATAAATCCGCGGCAAACTTCCTCGTTAAGTTTGTTTCCAAAACGTAGCACATGCATCTTGATCGATAACTAGACGCCATCTTGGATTTAGATGAGCCCGAAGGTTGTATATCATCCATCCTAGTGTCCACTTTGTAGCACGTTAAAGATCTTTTCCCTTAACTTAATTTTGGAGGGTCTATCTATAACGCTGACAGCGTAAAGAAAGATTTTGTTTGTCTTTGAAAATGGTGACCAACTTTTTTTGAATTGGCTACCACTTTGAAGAATTTAGGAGCCAAGTGGCTATCAGAAAAAAAAGTTAATTTCACGCCCTGCCACAAATTACTCATTAGAAAAAAATAGTAACTAAAACATGTTGTTTATTTTTAAGTAAATTCAGGCTCCATTAATTACTAGTAATAAAAATTATAGTAATAATGATCATGACTTAGTCAGTTACTACTTATGATAATTATTTGACATTCCCATTTTTTAATCCTGTTCTGAGGGGCAATAAAGTCACTTGTTTTTGAGAATTTTTTTATCAAAATGAAGATAGCTGGTGTAGATCAAATTTTCTACTCACCACTTCTGCTGTTAAGTCCTCCAAAACTATTGGATAGTGAAGACATTTGGATACTGACTGAAGACAAAAGTGTTCTTTGTCATCCCCAATTGAAAATCTTATGAAAAAGAAAAGATCTATCTATATTTATCAATTATCAAAAGAATATTATTAATAATAAACTTCTCTTTCTTCAACCTCATATCTTCTCCTATTACTTACTAATTCTACAATCGTTGTTATTCCCTAGAAATATAAATCATTCATGAGATCAGGTATAATTATTGGTATTAATTATCTTCCATAAAATCAGTGTTCCCCTTTTCAGGCAGTGACTGGTTAAAATTTACCACTTTTAGTACCTCCTATTAGTGCCTAAAATTACTTGGAATTCTTGAAAACTCCAAAAGCAAATGGATAAGTCTCCAGGTTTGAAAACTTTAATATACCTATCATGCTTAAAATAAGAGAGAACAATAAATTTCAAATTAGTTATCAGTCATATATTTTAAAATATTATAATCAACATCTACAATCACAGAAACAATTTACTAAAATTTGGAATAAGTTTTGAATGTACAAAACTAGTAAGCTACTGCACCTCTGCCCATCAACTGAACAAACAGCCACACCCCAGAGGTTAGGATCAAACTTTGCCAACTGTGGGATATAGTCAGCAACCTATGGAAGGAAATTGACAAATTAGTTGGTGATAGGAATCAGTTATTAATTGATAATAAATAACATAAACATTACTGGCAATCAAAGCATGGAGAAGGTGGTTCCTTAGACAGATGATCACACAGCTACAGGTATTATTGACTTTACTTTTCATTGTGCATGAAAGGGATTTTAATAACTCGAGGAGGCTGGCTAAAAAGTGAATCATCAGATTCTTGCTTCACTCAGATTTAAGGTTGGCAGTCTCTCCACAGTAGACAGATGGGGTTCTGCTATAGTCATCCTGAGAGACTCTAAGAAGACAAACCTAAGCAAGAGAGGTGCTTGAAAACTTGTGGGAGATTGTATTGATGATACTACCAGTATGAGAGAAACCTACTTAATTTATTTAGCTTGACTTCACTGGTCCATTTAAATTTGTGTTTTCAATTTATCTCTGGTCAAAATTGACCATCACAGTGTTGCAATCAAGGATGCAACATGCCCAAAAAATAACATAAAATCAATACTAATAATGTATTAATACTTAACATAATGGTTTTGACTCAATCATTAGAGTGCCATGTTTGACATAGACATCTGGACATCACTACAAAAGTTAAACTACATCCCTGTATTACCTCTAGTTTTAATGAAGGACATTACTTTATTACGGTTGTGAAAGTGTTTTAAAAATGGAAACCATAAAATATTACCTTTCCTCCACTGTTTGGTTTACATTTGTGATATATTTCCTCAATATGTTTAGTAAACTGACTAAATTCTGGAATCACAAAATCTCCCCGAAGTGCTTTCTCTATTAGGACAATATTCTTTTTGATTGATCTGAAAAGAAATTAGTAATTTAAGTTAAACTAATTTTAAGTCCATCAAACAGTCTGAGTCATTAAATGTACATTAAGTGTCATGAATATATCATTGCTGAATCAAACATTAGGTCATGAAATTAAAGGAAATGATTGCCTGCTAAAGAAGAACTTGTCTGATTGTTTTAATCAATTTCTCCTTACCAATGCTATAGGAAATTTACCAAAGAGATCAGTATGGAGAATACACATACTGATATTAAGGTGCTCAGGGCTAATTTAAAAGTTCCCTTTAGGGGGCTCAGGCCACCAATCTGTTCAAGGGTCATAATTTTAAAATTCATTCTCATCAAGGACCAAACATGTCACATGTAATTATTGCTCTTTAAAATAAATTTCACTCACAGAATTTTGATTTATCAAAGCCTCCAGTTTGTTTCTCAGTACTCATTTATTAAACCCCAACATTTTCAACCTTCCTGAATTGATAACTTGAGTTGAATTTACTTTTCCCTGGAGATTCAGGAGATCAGGATTCTACCATGTTAAAAAGATATTAATAATCATCATGCAAGTATTCTTCATCAAAAGATTAAAAGTTGAAAAAAAAATGTTAAATCGATACCTTCTGAATGTTGTCTCATCCACAAATCCTTCAAAATTTTCTTGTTGTAAATACTGTGCAAAGTTTGCCATTGTTTCTTGCAGCCTTCTATCCTTGACTCTAAAACCAGCTTCTTTCAGAGCCTTAAAAAAGAAATTCAATGTATGAGACATTTTAAATCTGTTTTTTTTTATTTACATAATTTAAAATGTATATCAGCTTGTGACCTATGCTATTTCTTCTTAGACAAAGGTTTTGAAGAAAATTAATCTCAGAGAAAAGAAAATGAAAACTGTTACATATTGCAAACACCTGCATCCAGGATACTACATACTTTACAGTAAAACTTACAGCTATGAACTTTGCAACAGAAACGTTTCCATCTTCATTTTTGAAGGTTTGGTATATCACATCTCCATCTGAAACACTATATAAAAACAAAAAAAATTCCTTTTTTAGAGTTTTCATCTCAAATTTTTATACAAATTAGGGTGGAAGACCTATCAACCCCTCTTGATTCAATTGGACATTTTTGGCTGTTTTATTAGCAGCATTACGGGGGCTTAAGGAGGGGTGCTATGTATATAGTCTCCCTTCCCCTCCTGCAGTTATATTAGAATTAAACTATCGTTTGTCCCTAAAATGTAAAACCAAAGATGTGTTAACTCTACAGTGTTTGGACACTTTAGGGTTGGATACATTGACCAAAAAAAAAAAACCCTTCATATCAGCTTGCCAAACCAAAATTAAAGAGATCAGAGAGTGATTTTCATCTAGATCCCCAAAAAATAAAGAATTATCAAATATCTGAGAAATGAAACCAAATATAATCTATCACTCATATTAGGTTATAATAATATCAATAGACATAAAAACCATTCATGGTAAATTTTAATTTCTGGAATATATTATTAAGTAATTCAATTTAATTAGCAAACTAGTCATGAATATGGGAGATCAAGTATTGACCATAAAGTATCATTACTAGGCCTAGATGCAAATTATACAAGAAGTATACTTTGATTTATACCGAGATTGAAAACCTACTCATTGTAAAATGAACTTATTTAACCGAGACAGCAGGGTATCTAAATTCTCCTTACAGCATCACCTCTGAATCAAATACCAAGGTCATGAGAAAAAAGGAAATAATCACCGCCAAAAGAAGCTCTTGATTGTTTGGCGGATTCCTCTTGATATTATTACAGGAAATTTTTAGAGGAAAAGTTGGAGAATAAACGTACTGATAGAGTCAGATATTTTTCGTCCTGTCACGAGCGTGGGACAAAGAAAAAATTCTGAGTCCCTATGAGGAATCGAACCTCAGACCTTCGGATTCTACGCTCCGATGTTCTACCACTGAGCCACAGATACTCTACGGTGAGCGAGGTCCATAACGAAGTTCATATGACAGGCGTCCTGCATACTGCTGGGATCATATGATGATTAGATACCAGCTATATATAGGTGAAATTCAGATAGTACGTACTTACTCAGATCAATGAAATTACAGGCCTAAAATAGGGGTAGTCCTTTGATATGGTGAGGTTCCTCTATACGAATACCTTTACAAGAACATTTTAAGTCTACAATCGTTGACAAAAAATGAAAAATATCACCGATTGTATATGATGGTAATTATAAATGGTTAGTGATCAGCATGACAAACCTGTGTGTTCCACTGGCGCTGTTTACATACCGCGACAATGGTCCAAAGAAACACGTACACTTTCGAAATGCCCGCCGAAGATGAAGGCAGCCGTCTATGGCTACAGATCTTTGACACACACGTATAAACATTGTCATGGTCTTCTGATTTTGGTCCTTAACCTTTCAGTCATTGATGAATTCGGGGAAAGATGATCACATATTCTTCCAGGCTCTAAAATTTTAATCACGTTTTGCACGATAAGGACTGGGTCCAACTGGCTATTTCCCGCCTGTTTTTGGTTCGATGTTATAAAATGGAGAAGTTAAATTCCGACATCGCTTCTCTCGAGAAAATTTTCACGAATTTAAATAATAGTAAACCTGAAAATGTCACAGAGACGAAGTTCTTGACATGTGATACAGAGCACGAGTTTCTGATTTCGTTCATACCAACTAAAACCTATCATCCGCTGCGACGAATTGTCGGTAAGGTATCAACCTCTTTCCTCGTTGTTGGCAAAAGTTTACCAGCTGACTGTAACGACTCTACAAAATCTGCCGGGGATATAACCCCTCAGGTTGCAAGGCTCAAGAACGAAAGAGTTCCTGTGGGAAAACCACTTTCCCAAGAGATATTTTATCTTACAGGCAGCGAGCCATTGCAATCTTATGCCGGCGTGAGCAAGTACAACATTCACGATTCGAGAGGTTGTACAACTGAATGGTTCTTGTCAGTGGAAAATGTACATCCGTGTTCACTCGAAGCCGCCAGGTACTTCCTCTCCGTCTATGCAAATGCTTTGAGAGGTTCTTTGCGACCTACTGAAGTGTGGATTTGCGTGGATGGTACATGTAAGAATCCACAAGGCATAATTTACCTTGGAATGATCCCTGAAAATGGAACTGTCGGTAGAAAAACCGTGAGACACGTAATTTGTACCAGCAAGAATGAGCCGATTACAACTAGAGAAGATCTGCCAGAGCTCAGCTCCTTCCTACATCATCATCTGTCATCCAGTTTGTCGACAACCTTTGTTGAAACCCATGGCTATGCACTGTATGAAGTCATGGGCGCATCAAATTTTAGCGCACAAGATGGGGAAAACAGTCGAATTACAGTTGAGTTAACATGGAGTGGTGTCAGTTCTCTTCTCCAGTCTCATCCTCATTCCTGCGATGGTGTTCTCCATGTAAGGAACATTCCAGGCAGTGTCCATCTTGCAACACACTCACTGTACCTAGAATTGGTACGAGTGGATGCTTTCTTTAAGATATTAGGAGAAGAGGATTATCCTTGGCCACCACTTGCAGCTGTCAGTGAAAAAACAGTTGTTTCACAAATGGATGGATTCTTCACCAAGCTTAACTCCAGTAATGTGTTTCCACCAGTGGTCGATGATGAGGAGAGTAAGGAGGATGCGAATGATTGTACCTTTGCCGAGGAGTCAATGGCCCACCTGACCTTTCAAGAATTTGCTCGAAAGGATTTGGATTTTACTGAGAGACTTTGGCTTCTGCTGAAGGATTGCGTTGATGAAGATGATCTTGCTGGTTCATTGCAAATGTGTTGTATGGCTCTGTTCAATAACAAATGTCAACCTGTTGTCCACAGTTCCAACATGACTTCATTAGCAGTTTTTATTAGAGATTTGTTGCAGTTTGAAACTAAAGAACAGCTGGAGAAACTTCAAACTAGGGCCAAGAAATTCCTATCTCCTGATTCAGCCATCAAATGCCTAGTAGAAATTGGCTGTGAAAAACTTGCAAGGGACTATAGCCAATATTTTATTCAACAGGAACTTGCCACCATGGGGCAACTGGCAAATTATCTAGACAACAATGCCCCACTGGGCACCCGGGTTTCTCACATCATAAAGCTTCATCAAATACTAGAGCTGGTTGTCACTGCCAAATCAGTAACCAGACTTGGTCATGAAAATATGAGATCCTTGACCCAAAGTGCTTTGATGTATTATCAGACACATGCAGACTCTGATAACCAGCATCCCACATTCTCATTGTCACTGCCAGCATTCGGATCCACTTCAGGAGCAGCTGTGAAAAGCATCTGCGCGTCATCCAATCCTGCAGTTTGGTGTGTTTCCTTTAGGTCAAAAACAAAGACTGGAGATCACACCACAATGGTGCAATTAAGTACAAGTCACCCAGGTAGGGGAATTTCTGCAAGCCCTGGGTATAATGTCACTGAATTGAATGATGAAGACTTTGATTCAGACAAGGAGAAATTTCAGTATTTTCTGACCTGTGCTAAGCAGGTGACAATGCCAGTTGTATAGCAACCCTGTATAGTGGAAAAAATTGAACAGATCGTGCACACTCAGAAGGAGATGTTTAACAGAATTAAAGAACAATTTGTCAGAATATTCTTTGGTATGCTCCTGAAGTAAAAGAGTTAAAGTTTATGTAATTTGAAATTGTTGTAGCTGGAACAATTGCAAGCATTCAAATTTCCTATTTTGCCTGTCAACTCCCTTCATCTTTACATTAATTTACTTCAAACTTCCACATATCTCCTTTGTAAATGAGTTTTAAGATAGTTTAGTTTTATACCCATAAGAGACTAAGACTCATTACCTATTGGGAGGATAATATTTTGAAATCATAGGTTGATAACTTCTGGGGTTAAGTGTTTTTCCAATGGCTTTGAACATTATTGGATTACAGTGGTGGATGAAGGGGAGGGGCCCAGGCCCCCCCCTTACTTTGGGTAAAAAGAGAAAAGAATCACAGAAGGAAGAAAAGCTGGCAGGGCAAGCAACAAAAAAACCGGGCTCCCCCCCCCCAAGGTCTGGATCCACCACTGAATTATCAGATGATATGAAAGAAAATTTAGACGCCATATCACCTTTATGATTAAAATTGCATTTGAAAAGTTTTTGTTCAAACTGAATAATGTATGGACATTGGAAACAGAAGTGACAAAAAAAAAAATCACTTTTTGTAGTTGAAGATTTGCAAATGAAAATAATTTTTGTTTCTGATATAGGCTCGTTAGAAACTTTCGTTGTTTATGTGTTCTTGAACTATTCTTTATTATATAATGACTCAGACTACCTTGATAAAGTAATTGAAATATTTGATTATGCAGTAAGTATATGAGATTTTAAAGCCAAGTAACGAGTGTGAGAATTGCAATGTTTTGCCTGAGCTTCGGGTGATAGATGTGCAGTTATAAAAGGTTTTATTGGCAGAATATTGGTAAATAAATTAAAAAACAAGCTGATGTTTGGTTTCTAAGGGAATCAGTCTTTTGAACTATTAAATCATGTACCCTGTATGTGGGATAAATTTGCGAGGGGAGAGAATGACTATGAGGGGAGGTTGGAGCCCATTCTCAGGACGTCATTGTAAAATTGTTAATTCATTAAGTTAAGGAAATTTTACATTAGTCGGGGAAAACTCAAGGGATTTCAAAAACCTATGACTGAGGCAATCTTTTAAAGGGTTTGAAATATTCCTCATAGGGCTGAAGGATTTTCCTTGCCTTTTTCTCCCTGTTCTCAAAAAGTCCTGGAATGTGCACAATCCTACTTTTAATAGTCCAGTCCAGCAGATATTGCGACAATGGGCTTTTGGGCAAAACCATACTCCCCCTCCCGTCCCCTCTTTGACTATGCTTCTATTGAGCTAAAAATAGTGTTGTACGCTTCGCCTCACTTCAAGTGCTTTGTCCGTCGGCGTTATCATGACGCATCAAATGAAACTGCGAGGAAATCCCATTAAAAGATCGGCAAGTTACAATGGATTTTCGCTTGCTCTTCCTAGTAACATCGACGAACTGAAAAGTGTAGATAGTTCATCCGACTCTTCGGCATACTTAATGCAATGGAGCCCAGTTGTTCGAAAACAAGTCGGCTGCCCATCGCTGATAAGATCACCGAATCATGTGCTTGATTGCTCAGTTTCAAACGAATTTAGAGATATAATTAAGGGCGTAGAAAATACTGACATAAGTTTGACTGAGCTTAGCGATGCATCAAGTGGAAGCGACGTTTGGCAAGAAGAATTAATTCTTCGTTTGAGACGACAGGAAGCTGCCATTGAGAAAGATAAAGCAAGGCTTGAGGAAGAAATAAAGACCCTTCAGTTGAAGTTGGAATTAGAGGAGGATCTGCGACGCAATGATAAAGAATGCATGGATATTCTCAGAAGCCACATCTCAAAGCTTGAAGGAAAACTACAGAGCAGCGAGAAGAAGATAAGAGAGTTAGAACACGAAAAGCAACGGCTAGAGGTCAACTCTGCAGTGTTACCCGCAACAAAGCCGGGGGAATTTACACTTTTGAAAGCGCGCTTGGATGCGAGTGCAGCCACTATTCATGCCCTTGAAGCGGATTTAAAAAGGATAAAGGGCGAAAAAGCCACACTTGAGGGGCAAGGAAAGGAATATCAAGACATGCTGATAAAACTTGAGCATCAGTTGCGAAGCGCAAATAAGGAACTCCAACGTCGGGAGAATCGAGTAAACGAGCTTGTCGAAGAGAGAAGATCTCTGGAGGAATTTCAGTTAAAAGCACGCAGCTTACAAAGGAAAGATCAGAAATCTTCTTATGCTTTGCAAATTCAAATTGTTAACCTGCAAGAAAAACTCGAGATGTCAAACAGGACTAACGATGAGTTGAAAAGCGACAAGGAGAAGTTGGAAGCTAAAATGAAACAACTTGAGTACAAGGTGAAAGAATTAGAGGGTAGCTATCGATCCAAACTCGAGCAAACTATGGAAAGATTAAAACGGCAGAAGTCACACACGGAAGATAATCCCCTCAAGGCAGTAAACGGATGTTTACAGCGTGTTCATCAACCATCTTCCAGCGAAAACTCGGCCGACAGCCAGAAACTAAAACAGCAGTGTGGTGCCGAGGTCAAAGTGTCAACGCAACGAAAGCTCATTTGTACCCTGCTCATGGAGTTGAACAAGCAAATGGAGGAAAATGCTTGTAAAGATATTGAATTAGCCCCCTTAGAGGTACCTCTAAAAGAATTTCTGGATAAGATTTCCAACAATGTTACAGAGGCACTTCGGGAGACCAAATTTAATGGGAAGCCCTTGCAACTGGTCACAGTGGCTAAGGAATCCTCCAAAGAGGAGTTTGTATGTGAGAAATCACCCAATGGAGTAAGTCAATTTTTATAGCTTTAGGTGCTTTTTCATGTAAGATATTTTATCCCCCAATATCTCTTTAGTAATTCTCCTTACTGCCAACTATACCTTTCTTGTGTTGTTTGTTTGTAGAACTTGGTATTGGATCAACTAATAATCCCCCAATTTACTTTTTTGGCGTTAGATTTTGTGTAATGTCGCGTGACTTTGATGTAAACAAACCGTAAAAGTTCGGACGTTGAGCCATCCACCCAATACCTTAGTGCAAACTTCGGCTTTGGCATTTAGTTGTTAATGATTTTCACAGGGATTCGTGGGCATCAATCTCCTATCAGACTTTGTTTTTATTTGACAATCTATGTACTTGATGCCCAAAAATTACGTAATCGGATATCATTGAACAGCACGCAGAACTAGTTTGATTATTCCATGCCGAAATGCTTCCTGGCACAGAATTTCAATGTGTACCTAGGTGTTTGTCTATGCAAGGGCAAGAAACATAGGGCCAGAAGAGATGAAAATACCTCAATTGAAATCTGTGCTATATAAGTTGATAGATAAATTTTCAAGTTATGGCAGCACTGTTTTGAGTTTGACACTTTCATTTGCAGATTAATGGAAGTAAAGAAAGTAGTGAAGAAAGGTAAGCTTTACCTCCCTTTCATGAATGTTCTCTGCTACAAACAGTTCATTGTTGTTGTTTGTCTAGCTCAGCTAGTGATTTTGTGTGCCCATAATGAAAACAAAGCATAGAACTGAGAGAAGGAAAGAAATGAGGAAATTTTGCACTTTTTAAGGGAATTTTTCTTCAATCAGATTCTCATAACTACATTCAACCCCCAATTATCCAAACTCATGGGGATTGGACCAAATATCCTGGGTAATCAAAAGTCCAGAAAATAAAAGATATGAATATTAATAAACCAAAATTAAAACTGAATTATTCAATTTATATTTAAGAATTAAAGTATGTTCTTAAATCATAGTGCTTCATATTTAACATTTTCCAATAGCATCTGAAAAACATTTTTAAAGCCATCTAAAAATGTTTTACATCAACCTGAAATACTGACAAAAATCAGTTTGTTTCAAGCTGCTACAGGGTGTGTGGGCAGCTAATTTTCTCATTCTTTGAAGCTACATTAGTGGAATAACATCAACATTGTTCTTTCCATCTTAAACAAACACTTCCCAAAACATTCTACGGCTTCAGAAAGTGGAACAAATCAGTTCCAAATGGAGCTTCACAACATGTGCTTTGCTTGGTGGGAAAAAACTTTGTTACTGATCTAGAATCTTACTAATTGATGTTATTATTTCCTCATTTTGACAGTGCTTTGAAAGCTCCTCTATTTATGGTACAGAAAGTTACAAGAGAAAAATTTACAACATATCGCCCAGATCTGTGGGAAAAAAGACAAAGTGCATTGAAGCCCAACAGTCATTCAAGACCAAGAAAGAAAATTCCAGTTAAAGAGGTTGAACAGGAGAAATAAATATTATTTTACAGCCAGACTTATAAAGCTGCTTTTGTAGTAGAGGAATGCAGTTTCTTCCAATATATCCACTAGTTGGAAACGAACCATGTCAATTTGAACCAAACAAATATCATGCTAAACTAAAGAAAGCCATTGCCTGAAAAAGATCAGCATTCTGCAGTTGAAGTTTAAAGGATCTACATCAGAATTGGCAATATCGTGAGACAAACACTTTTATTTTCTTTGTTATTCTATGCTTTTGCTCAGAGTTTTTCCAAAGTCTCATTGTAATTCATTATAAAAAGGAATGTCATTTAATAACGATAGTTTGTTCAAATTAAGAATATTTTATATTTTCACTGGAGTTCTAGATAACTTACTGGGTTGTTATAATTTGATCAGATTTGAAAATTTTAAACAATGCAATCTGATGTTGTCCATTATATTATCAGGTGTGAACAATGTTTGAGTAAGGCAAGTCTTTTTATTAAACCATCTGTTCCAAAATAAAAATGAAACAAACATTTGCCTTTGACAGCTCAATGATTAGGTTTGGTCATTTTAAGCCTTTGATCCTGATTTTTGTGGTTTTAGCAAGTGTTCCTTCAAATGTAAGCCCAGGCGTTAATTAGATCTTTTTGTTTAGTACGACAAAGTGTAAAACTACATTGATGATCTGTACATACTGATAGCAAAGATGTATATATATAAATATATATTTACAGTAAACAAGGTTGTCATCTAATGCTTTCAGTATAGTTTGCACTGGAACCCAGTGACACATATAGCCAAGTGCTATTCAGCTGTTCACTTGGAGTTCATCTCCTTTTCCCCCTCCCACCATCTCCTCATAGGATGCTGTGTTATTCAAAATCATGCCCCTGCAAAGTGTTGACCCTTTAACTTCCATGAGTGACCAAGACAGAGTTTCTCCTGATAATATCAATACAAAATAAAGCTGACAAGTGATGAGAATTGAGAAAAATATCAATTAGGGGATAATTAGCTGATCCAATACCAAACTCTCAGAACTAACATCAAGACAATTTTATCACAAACAAAAAGGATAATTACTAATGAGAAGGATAATTACTAATGAGATCTTGGGATTGAAAGGGTAAAATCTTTCCTACTTACAGTTTCCTGTACCTATCTGTAACCATAAATTGGCCAGTTTCAAGCATCAGGCCTTTATCAGAAACTTTATTTAGAGTTTAATTAGAAACTCGCCCCCTTTTTTAATTTCCAACCAGAGATAGAGTGTTGGGTTCTTGGAGCAGTGGTCTGAATATTTAATCTCTACAATTTTTTGACTGATAATTTCTTTCAAACGTGATCATAAACATGGCTTTCACTGTATAGCAGAATAATTGAAAGTGTTAGTGGCTTTTAGAGGGAATTCGCACAGAGTAAGGAACATTGTACCAAGTAACGAAGTTGGCAATAAAGGAGTTATGTTTACTGTAAACCAGAGCCTTCAATAAAACATCTTTAAGACCTTAATTTTAGTCTGATTTCAGTCTACCCAAGAAAAGTTTTCAAGTCTCACTTTGGCCTTATTTGCAGAGTTGTAGAGTTTACTGGGTGGTTAACCCTTTAATCCCTTAGAGTGATTAACATCTAATTTCTCCTTTCAATATCACCCCTGAATCAAACATTAAGGTCATGAGAATAAAGGAAATGATGATCAACTGAAGAAACTCTTGATTGTTAAACAAATTCTCCTTACCAGCACATTAGGAAATGTATCGAGAATAGTGAGAAGAGTATGCATACTGATGTTAGGGTGTAAAGGGTTAATGATTCCCTCCCTTTCTACCCAGCCTCCTTTTTTCAATGTGCCTGGAATTCGGGTTTCTGGCTGAACTGTGCAATTTGCCTGTCATGGGGGTACAATTCTGTCAAAGGGTTGGCTGGACACAGCAGACATCCTTGGATGAACAAGATACCCTACTTCCATTTTAAGAGAGAATTAACAATGAATGACTGTAAACTCATTTTAATCTACAGCAACTCAAGCCCAATTACACTGTACTAAGAGACATTGATATCTGAGATTTCTGTTGATTGTCTAATTGAAACTTATGAACTCTAGATGCATTAAAATAGTCTTAACTCTCTAGTAATTGGCTCATCAAATCCTTAACAGCAATCTAATTAAGTATCATTGATAACAATTTTATATTACCCCAATGTAAGAATTCCTTTTCTATAAGTTAAATCCATATCAAGTGAGCAGAGAAATTACAGTGTGAACAATGAAGAAAAGATCATACAATTTATGTCTAGAGGAATAATAAATCACCCACATATTTTCATGCTATTATAAATCTATTAGTGCTCTATTACAAACACTACAGTGTGATTGGATGCACTACTTTCTATTTATTATTTTTTTTAACCCTTTAACTCCCTGAGGTGATTTACATAGAAATTCTCCCTATAATATCCATACATTATCCTGCAAACAGGTATTGAGAAGACTCCAACATATCAGGTGGAAGTTATCTTGATCTAACACTAAATTCTCACAACTGATTTACAAAGAGATGTGTAGCAGCTAAAGGGAGAATTAAAGTGCTAATACAATTAACATTAGATCATGAGTAAAACCAATCAAAGCGTGTGTATATTCTAGTTTACTATATTATCTGTGATATTATTAGCCTCATGAAGTGAGGTTTTAAACAAAATAAAACAAAATCATAGGCATTTCTTGATGCTGAGTATTGAACATCTAGTAAAATGATACTAAAACAATTATATTATTTGCTCTTAGTTCCCATACATAAAAATTAATGGAGGCTATGCCCTTAGCAACCATCACCAACCAGAAATCCCACGCTTATGTTATAATTGTCGAATAGTAACACATGAATTATAAGCCACTTAGTGCCTGCTGGGTTAGCAAATGATCAACCCAATATTTTACAATATCATACAGTCATGTAATATGAATTATAATTATATCACTTAAAACATATCAAGTCGACATATAATCATCCACATATCCTTTAACCCTTTAACTCCCACAGGTGACCAAGGCAGAATTTCTCCATACAATATTGATACAATATCGACCAGATAAGAGACGAGAATAAAGAAAAATATCAATTTGGGGATACCTAGTTGATCCAGTACTAAATTCTCTGAACTAACTTTATAAGAATTGTATGTTTGACAGTAAGGAGAATTACAAATTTGATCTGGGAGTTAAAAGGTTAACACAAATAAAGTGGCATTTAATTCATGTTATATCATTGCAAAAGATGTAGGTGACTATATGCTTCTTAACATAAATAATAAACTAAGAAAAAAATTGATATGGTGCTTAAACCATGAACTCCTCCTTGTCCACTTTGCAACCCATATTCTTTCAAGGTTTTCATTTGACTTTTGTACTCTCTTTACAAACTGAGGCCTAAAAGAGGAGTGCCTCTAGTTTAAGGGTGCTCTCTATAACTAGGGTCTGGCTGGGCCTAACTTTGAAATTCAAAAATAAATAAAGAGATATCTCTATTTATGTTAAAAATTCATGAGAAAAGTGGAGGAAAATTCAGAAGTAGTAATGATGGTGATTACTTGGAATTTGATCATGAGGTAAATTGGCATAGCTAGTCAGCTTTGACCAACAATAAATATGCCAGGATGTAAACCTCAAAATGTTACAACACCACCAAGTTTCTGCACTAACTTCTTTCCCTCCCAGGTGTGACTGCTCTTGGCAAATAAAGGAGATGATCAATTGAGAAATTCTGCCTTGATAAAACGCTAAATTCTCAGTCAACATTTATTTCAGATCTTGGGAATAAAAGTTAATCCACTTCTGGCAAAATTTTATAGCTTAGTATCGTATGCTTACACAGCTTGAAAAAACCCAAACACTCTTTGGTGTTCTCATCAAACAAAGTTCATATTAGTTCTACACATAGGTCCATGCAATTTGTGGATTGTGCTGCTTCAAATTGTCCCAACTTCCCATCCTTGATTTGATCTGAGTTAGTCCATCTTCAGGTTGACATATATGTATCTTATAAACTTTAAGGAGGCAAAGAAAGCCACAGTGCTGAGCATCAGGAAGAACACATAGCATGTCAGCAGCGTGTATCCAAAAAACTGTACAGACTGAAGCATTCCGGACATGTTGGATCTCTTGTAGTAGTAAAACATAGCATAACCAAACACAAAAATAGATGTGGACCTAAAAGAAACAAGTAAAGGAAACTTAAGAATAGTCTGACTCACAGAGGACATTAAAACAACTCATTGCAACAACACAAAACATGACAAATTAAGAAGTATCTTAACATAACAAACAGTTAAGTACTTAACATAAAGTAAAAAACACTTGAGATTTTTCAAATGCATGTTTCTGTCAATAAGTTTCAGGACAACACAGGTCACAGATTCACATAGAGCTTTGTATAGATATTTTATACAAATCCTCCAATTAAAAAAAATGGTCTGGAATTTGCTAATTCCTGTGCCTTCTATACCAAGTGTGTCCCAAAATTTCTTCATTTTTATATTTTTTTAACCTCTAAAAATCATGCTTCTCAAACCTTTTCCCCTTTATCATGAGCACTGCAAGCAGTGCATGTCTAAATAAGCATTAGAAACCTTTGAGGAGTCTTGGTAGGGATGATGGGTAGGTGGGTCTGTAGCAGAAAGGACTTGCATGGCTTGCTGCTGCACCTTTCATGGTGTTCTATACCTCTGAGTTATTGATAGAAAATAGTAGTAATAGAACACGTATCTGCAAAAAAGTTTTAAAATCATGCAACAAATTGCCTCACCCTCCACACATAAGTGAACGCCACCACCAGCGATAGTCTTCACTTGAAAGCTGAAAGTATGTCAGAGCGATGGAGATACAGGCTGTGACATTCAGAAGGATAACAAACACTATGAAAAGGATTCCATACAAGGTGTACTGTTCACGGCCCCACAGTGTGGCAAAGATGTAGTACAGCTCCACAGAGATTGCACTGCAAAGAAAGTTTCCACAATAATATTATTAATGATTCATGTTGAATCAGGTGTGGCCTCCTCTCACCATAGTACCTAAACACGCTCTCAGGAGTGCGTAATGAGGAGGAATTACCTGTGCTTCATGTGTATGTAGATCCAAGCATGCAATAAAAAGAGTACTTGCAAGTTTTTGCCATTAGATTTATCTCGTGTTATTCACACAAATGCAATATATGAGTGAAATTTTGTTTCACTCAACTTTCCACAAGCCTGATCAAAAAATTCCTGCTTCTATGAGAAATTAATATTCATTGTGCAGATTTTGAAGGATCACAAAAGCTAAGGTAAAGTTAAAAGTGATACTGTATGTAGTAAGG